TTTCTGTAGGCAAAGCTCTGATGTCTAAATGCACTTTTGACTTAAGATATTTTCAACTTACAACGAGTTATCAGGAAGTAACTCCATTGTAGATCGAGGAACATTTGTAATTAGAGGCAAATCCATGGATTTGAATGAATTTGTTAGGAAAAGAGAAATAGTGAGAATCAGTGGTCAAAACTGCAACTCAAAGAATTAGGAAAAGTAGCTAGTTAAAGTGAAGGAAATAAGGGTGGCAAATTATAAAATACAAGCAGAAAAAAATACAACACAACTTCCCAACTTTCACAAGAGAAAATCAAATATATGAAGAAACCCTCAATTGTTAAATTAATTGAGTCCATAATTTAAGGAAAATGGGAATGAAAGTCCTCAACAAAATAATAACAAATCGATGTTGTAATATATGAAAAAGATAATACAACATTAGAACATGATACAAAGTGCAGTTTGTTCATAAATGAAAATTGGTTTAACATTTAAAAATCAATTTAATTTGCAATGTTAATAATTATCATACTAACCTTTAGAGAAAATGGTTTTGATAAGTTGGTAAAATTCATTTCACATTCATGAAGGGAAGTCTCAACTAATTAGAAATCAAAAAGAATTTCCTCAAAAATTGGATTAGATAAAGGATATTTAGCAAAAAACCCACTATAGTTCATAGTTATGGTGAAATATTGAATGCTTTACCCCTGACTTTGGGAATAAGAAGAATTCAATTAAACATTAAAGGCAAGTTTAGCCAGTTAGTTAGGACTTGCTACATCATTTCTGGGATCCAGTTCAAAATGAAAATGCAGCATCCTAAGTGGGGTAGGGAAGTCCCTCTCCCTTTCCCACAGGTCCACTGCTGGACCTCCTGGGGACCCTGAGGGGGGCCGGAGAGCTTCCGGGTGGGCGGACATGCGGAGGTGCTGGGAGAGTGGTCCCTGCTGAAGGCCTGGCAGCTCCACACTTCTTCCCACAAACCTTGTCCTACATGTCTCTTCCACTAGGTATTTGTCTGCATTCTTTACCATATTTTTATAATAAATATGTAAACATAAGTAAACTGTTCTCTGAGTTCTGTGAGCTACTCTAGAATATTAATGGAGCCCAGGGTTTTCTGCGGGGAGGACCTTCAATCTATAGCCGGTGGGTCAGAAGCACAGACGATCACCTGGGCTTGCAACTGGCATCTGAAATGTGTGCAGTGGGTGGGGTGGGAGCGGTCTCATGGGACTGAGGCTTTAACCCATGGGATCTGATCCTTTGTCTGGGTAGAAAGTGTCAGAATTGAGTTGAGTGTTAGGGCACTCAGGTGGGGTTGCAGAGAATTGCTTGGTGTGGGGAAACACCACCACTCATTTGGTAACCAGAAGTGTCAGAAGTGTGAGTGTTTCGTGTGAGGAGTAAAGGAGACTCACAGGAAAGAAAGACATAGTAGGGAAGAACTAGTTTTTCCACACATAAGAAGGAAAAAATCTGGGTGTTTTTTTTTTTCTGATACGAAGCCTTTTTTCATAATGGGACCACATTGTAAACAATCCAAACAACCTAAATGTCTGTTTCAAGGAGAACGGATAATTAAATTGCTAGACATTTATACAGAGGAATTCCACACATCAATAAAAAAGAACAAACAATGATACACAAAGCAACATTAATAAATTGCAATTATATTATTTTGAGTGAAGAAAACCGGATATGAGAACATATACCACGCATATAGATATTAGCAAGTATAAGGTTTCATTGAGTTTTAAGCTTAAGTTTTGTGCACTTTATTGTGTATATTATATGCTGACATATCGTCATTACCAAAAGAGAGAGCACGGAGGAAAAGCAAAGAAACAGTCATTTTAAATACCGAGATAAACGTCAGTGCCATCATCTGAGAATGAAAAGTGGTTCCATCGGGTGGGCAAGACTGGAGTGTGTGGAGGAGTGAGACAAAAAAAAAAAAGGAAAACAAAAGAATGCTATTTGAATTTGTAAATATATGAGAGTATTATTCTCATTAAAAGAATATGTATTTTTAAGAGAAGGGAAAAGAAACTGCTGGGAATCTCAGACAAGATGAGGCTGAAAAATAACCTTCTGCTTTATCACCACCAAAGCCACTGTGTTAAAGAGAGACTTTCTCTTGGAGCGATGCTTACAGAGGCCAGGTTCAAGGTGGAGAGGAATGAGAGTTGAGGAAATGGAGACAGTAAGTATAGACAGTCAGCTAATTTGATTATTAAGGAGAAGACAAATGTAGAAATGGGGCTGGTGGAGATGCGGGCTTCAAGAAGACTATATTAAAATGGAAAGATTCATTTACAAAAATTACTAAAAAAAAAGAGAAAGATTCAGTTACAGACAAGTAACCAAATTATTAGAAGAGAATGCAAAAACATCGTATTTCAGGGAAGAGTGTGCATTCCTGTGCAGTCTCTTTTCACGTGGCCCAAGGCTAGCAACCAAGACTCCCCACAGCACAGCTCTCCCTTCTGAATCTATGTGAGGGAACTCTGGGCTGTTAAAAAGAGCAGACTGACCCGTGAACACACAAGCGGGACTGTCCAGGACCCTGGCCAGAATGAACAGTCATCTCTGCCATCTCTAAGTAATACTTCTTCGAGAAGGGACAATAACACAGGTGCGCTCACTCCGGAGCCCCAGCTGCAGGGTTTGGGCACAGACTGCAGCTGCCTGGGGAGCGCGGTGCCTCCACAGCACAGAGGGAAGCGGCTGAGTCTTCAGGTTTAGGGGCTGCGATGTGCAGAGAACTTCCATTCTTTGACACTGTGGCTCTTAGTCTTTCGCTCTGCTTTTCATCCCCAACTGAGAGCAGAAGGAAGAGGAGTTCGGGGCCCTTCCCGGGATCTAGTCTGAA